GTCCTTATAACACTAGCATTTTACATTTTCTTGCTTCGAAAATTTTAAGTAATAATGTCTTACTATTTTATATTTTTGTATTTTAAGAATTTCATTTCTTGTCTTATTACAAACATATTCTTACAAACATATTCTTAAAGTAAGAAAATGTTTTCTTATTTTAAGAAAATGTTTTCTTATTAAGAAAAACTTTTCTTATTTTAAGAAAAAGATACCTTGGGATTCAAAAATTTCTTATTTCAAGAAAATTTTTTCTTATTAAGAAATTTATTTTCTTATTTTATGATTTTTTTCTTAAATTAAGAAATTTTTTTCTTAATATGAAAATGATTTTTTGCTGTGTATAGTTATTATCCGTTCTGTCCTTTATTTAAAGTCTTAAGACTTGACAGTACTTTTGACAATATACTGGTTTTATGAATTTTTAGTGACTTAATTTTTACTCGTATAAAACTATAGGGGCCTTAAATAAAAGCCTATACAGGTTTCCAAAGGTCTCTAGCTCTCTGAAAGTATCTCAAAAGGAAATAAATGTAAATAACTATGTAATTTGGGCAATAATCCTGAAGGTTTAATCCTGAAGGAAATAATCCTGAAGGTTTTTCCTTCACGTTTTTCGTTCTGCATGTTTAACATGCTCTTCTGTAAATTGTTGTGCCTGTTTACCAAGTGAGATGTTCCAATTGCGACTGGAAAAACTTTTTTCCCCTAACCATGTAGGAACTGATCCAACTTTTTCGCGGCGAATTTTTTTGCTGACCAGTCAGATTGGCAAGATTTGTTTTTCGCTTCGCGCGAACAAGTCGCCTAGTGGAAAATATAGGCTCAAGAGGTCATGTTTATCAACTAATTCGACATTCTTGGGTGACCTCAACAAAACAAACATACGCAGCGGGTATTAAACGGTTTATTTATTTTTGTTTTTCTCGCAAAAGGGATCGTGACAACTTGTTCACCTCTGCTGCCTGCGACTGAAATTACTTTGCTTTGCTTCACTTTACTTTGTTTACCTAGCTAGCGTGTCTTGTCTGCACGTAATTTTGCAAGTGCGATTCGATATTGGGAGCTTGTAACTGTTGAAAGGTCTGAAATACCTGAATGGTGAAAAAACGAGAGATTTTTGGGCCATCACTTTTAAAGAACTTGCATGTCTTCATCGTGGACTACGCCCCAGTTTACAGATTCTATAGACAATGTGATGCTCTGGGCTGCCTTTACTTCAGCCTTTTTCGGCTTTTTGCGGTGCAGCGAGTTTACTTGTAATTCACCGTTTTATCCTGAACACCGCCTTTCAAGAACTGGCATTTTCTGCCCGAACATTTTGAATGCAGAACACTTTGACACTTGGCTATTCAAATCCATAAGCCTACTTGGACTCCCTACGTGGATCCAAATCGAGTGGACAAGATAAAATACCAGTAAAAATTTTAATAGACTCCAGTGATATATGAGTTTCGTATTTGACACATATATAACTGCTCTCTTCTTTCTGGCATTTTTCCAGACGAGTGGAAACTGCCCAGAGTTTCACCTATTGATAAATCGGGGATAAACAAGAGTGTGGTAATTATCGCCCAATATCTATATGATCAGTCGTTGCGAAAATATTTGAGAAATTAGTCTGTGGTCAACCCAATTGCTATTTCAAGGAAACCCAGATTCGTACAGAATTTCACTCTGGTTTTAGAGAAGGTCATCCAAGTACATCATTTTTGCTCCCTACAGCCAATCCTTGGTTAGTGAACATGGATGCTGGCCTTATTAACGGGGTCCTTTTCCTTGATCTCAAAAAAGCATTTGATAAGGTTGACCACCAGATCCTTATTAAGAAACTTGAACTATACGGAATCAAAAATAGTGCGTTAGTATTGCTTTCTTCGTACTTACATGGAAGAGTTAATAACATTACATCACCTTTAAAACATATCTCGTGTGGTGTTCCACAAGGGTCTAACCTGGGTCTTTACGTGTGGTGTTCCACAAGGGTCTAACCTGGGTCTTTACGTGTGATGTTCCTCAAGGGTCTAACCTGGGTCACCTCCTATTTTTAATTCACATAAATGATTTGCCTAATTGTTTAAAAAAATCAAAACCAGCTATGTATGCTGATGATATCAATTTATCGGTTACTGGAGAAAGTGCAAGTGATATCGAAGTGAGATTAAATATTGAACTTGAAAATGTTCACGACTGTTTGACAGCGAATAAATTAACACTTAATATTGAAAAAACCAAGTACATGATTATTGGTTCGTGTAATAGAATCTCAAATATTCAAAAAGAAAGTGAAAGTAAAATTAGGATTGGGGATAATGAAATAAAACGAGTCAAAATTACTAAATGTCTGGGAATGGGAATTCCAGCTATTGTCTAAATTTTGAAAAAGATCCATCACCACAACTAGAAAATTGCAAGGTTTGGCCGCGAAATGGTGTAAAATGCGGAAAATATAGCCCTGCGAAATTTGCACATTTTGTATTAAATTGCATTACGCACCGGAAAATGCACCACATTTGGGCCGAAAGTGGTGTAACGAAGCACTCTGAACACTTTAGATAAAGTTCTTTATTAATAACATATCACAAACAAGCAACTTCTCCACAAAATATCTCTCACGATCTCACAATTATTTCAGCTATAAAACTTACATGCACACTTTTGTCTCTCTCGCCATGCGGTCATACTTCTAAAATCACATACTCCAAAAGGTACTTAAATTACGTACTCCAAAGAGGCACTTCTTCCCCCACCTAATATCAACATAATTAAAGACTATACTACTAAAATTTTCCTGGTCAACTCAACATAAAAGTACATATGAAATAGTTCAACAGTTCAATCAATAAAGTTCATAATACACTGTCTTAAACGTGTAACATTCAGTTACTATAAAGTGTTTAACTTATCTGTTCAGTAATCCACAACAGGTATTCCATAACGATCCGGCATCCTTCGATTGCGTCTAAGGTTGTAACCATGCATCACATTAGCACCATCATCATTTCTTTGAACATTCTGGCGTTCTTCAGGATTCGGCAGTATATTACCAATTTCATCAAAGTCACATTCAGAACTTTCGGTATCTTCACTTTTTTCGTAAACCTGATCAATATCATAGTCAATCGAAAATCGTTTTAAATTGTTCGCATGAACAATCTTTCTTGTCTTATTGGCTAGCGACTCTATCTCACAGCTAGTATATCTTGAACATCAACAACTAGATACGGCCCAACGTATTTTTCGTCTAATCCTCGAGCTCTAAAGTTCTTTAAAAGTACCGTATCTCCAATGGTAAAGTCTTTGCTCCAGCATGCATGATTTCGTGAATCGTAACAACGTTTCTGCTCTTCTGGGACTGTTCGATTCTCTCCATTACGATCTTTCGCATGTTATTCTGTCGCTTTTTTAAATCTTCTAGGTACTTGGCGGGCCATGAGTCGGTTTGGTTTCTAGTTCTTCAGGTTCTACTCCCAGAGGCAATCTGGGATCTCTTCCATACAACATTTCAAATTGTGTTGCTCCGGTAGAAGACTGCTTGCTAACTCGATACGCTAGTAAAGCATGAGGCAGTTGCTCATCCCAATCGTCCTTATCATTGTTAACCCACATTCGAAGGAGAGTCTTTAGAATTCCATTGAAATGCTCGCATAGTCCATCTGTCTGTGGGTGATAAGCGGTAGTTCTCCTCTTTTCTATCCCAAACAACTGACACATACTTGCTACTAGATGAGATTCAAAATTACGGCTCTGGCCCGTGAGCAAAACTGAAGGCATTCCATGCCTGGCAAACACTTGTTCCAAAGCCCGAACTACTGTCTCCGCCTCTTGATTAGGAAGAGCTATTGCTTCTGCATACTTCGTATAATAGTCAATAATGGAAAGGATATACTTGTTTCCCTGACGTGTTAACTTCAAAGGACCAATAAGATCTACTCCTATCATGTAAAATGGCACAGGAACAATGTCAATTGGTTTCATAGGACTTCGAGGTCTTGGTAAAATTTGTTTCTCGCCCAAATTTCACAGCCTTTACAAAACGTTTCTACATCTTTGTAAAATCCAGGCCAATAAAACCCTAGCCAATAATCCAGGCCAATAATCCATAGCCAATAAAACCCGATATCATATATCATGTTGACGAGACAACACGCTTTGAAACACAGCTCACAAAAAATGTCGAAATCTACCCTAAATGCATCAACTGAAAAAGCAAAAACGAGATCATCCGAAGTTTATGATATTCCAAACGAATCAGAAGTAAAAAATGGGAATCAAAGCCAAGAAATAAAGCGCATCGACCAAATCTACGATATGGTGAAATCCATGATGGCGAAATTAGACACGCTAGACGAGATAAAAGAACGCATTCTTTGCGTCGAGAGAGATATGGGGCACATGAAGGACTCAATCGAATTTGCCCATGCAGAATTACGGGAATTAAAAGAAGAAGC